ACTCTTGTGGGACACTCTTGTAGGACACTCTTGTGGGACACTCTTGTGAGACACTCTTGTAGAACACTCTTGTGGGTCACTTGCAGGACACTCTTGTGGGACACTCTTACACGACACTCGTGTAGGACACTCTTGTGGGACACTCTTGTAGGACACTCTTGTAGGACACTCTTGTCGGACACTCTTAAGGGACACTCTTGGGAGACACTCTTGAGCGACACTGTTGCGGGACACTCTTGTGGGACACTCTTGTGGGACACTCTTGTGGGACACTCTTGTAGGACACTCTTGTGGGACACTCTTGTGGGACACTCTTGTGGGACATTCTTGCGTGACACTCTTGTAGGAAACTCTTTGTGTGGGACACTCTTGTGGGACACTCTTGTGGGACACTCTTATAGGACACTCTTGTGGGACACTCTTGTGGGACACTCTTGTAGGACACTCTTGTGGGACACTCTTGTAGGACACTCTTGTGGGACACTCTTGTGAGACACTCTTGTAGAACACTCTTGTGGGTCACTTGCAGGACACTCTTGTGGGACACTCTTGTAGGACACTCTTGTAGGACACTCTTGTGGGTCCTCTTGTAGGAACCTCTTGTGGGACACTCTTGTGGGACACTCTGTGGACACTCTTGTGGGACTCTCTTGTGGGACACTCTTGTAGGATACTCTTGTGGGACAGTCTTGTAGGACACTCTTGTGGGATACTCCTGTAGGACACTCTTAAGGGACTCTCTTGTGAGACACTCTAGTGGGACACTGTTGCGGGACACTCTTGTGGGGCTCTCTTCCAGCTCCCCAGATACTCCGCGTACTAAAGTTGTACTACAAGGTTGCTAGTTCTGAGCTTCCAGCTCCACAGATTGCTCCGCGTACTCAAGTTGTACTACAAAGTCGCCAGTTCTCAGCTTCCAGCTCCACAGATTGCTCCGCGTACTAAAGTTGTACTACAAAGTCGCCAGTTGTCAGCTTCCAGCTCCACAGATTGCTCCGCGTACTAAAGTTGTACTACCAAGTCACCAGTTCTCATCTTCCAGCTCCCCAGATACCCCGCGTACTAAAGTTGTACTACAAAGTCGCCAGTGCTCGCCAGCATTTCGCGTGCTCGACATGCACGATCTCCGCAGAGGGTTGCGCGGGCACCGGACAAATCGCACTCTCGTCTGCATTTCGCGCACTCGACACGCATGATCTCCGCAGAGGGTTGCGCGCGCATTGACAAATCGCACTCTCGCCTGCATTTCGCGCACTCGACACGCACGATCTCCGCAGAGGGTTGCGCGCGCATGGGACAAATCGCACTCTCGCCTGCATTTCGCACACTCGACACGCACGATCTCCGCAGAGGGTTGCGCGTCAAGTCTCCAAAACGAGCGTTTCGTGCGAGACTTCCTCAAAAACTCACAAGTCAAAGTCTGCAAAACGAGCGTTTCGTACGAGACTTCCTCCAAAAGTCAAGCGGAAACACCCATCGGAGCACACACATCACGCAGCCCTGCCAAGCAGTTTCGCGATTCCAGCCCCTCCAAACAAGATCCGCTCACACGCCAATCCCAATGTGACAGCGACATTCACCTCTACCACAACTCACAACCTCACGATTCCCTGCGCCTGCCACGAATCTTTCCCCATCCACACGTCTAACGCGCACAAAGTACTGCGCCTGCCACGAAATGTCACCTCCCTCACACCTCGCAACCTCACGATTCCCTGCGCCTGCCACGAGAATCGCACTTCCACGCTTCAAAACCCGCACGAAGTCCTGCGCCTGCCACGAAAAGTGACAATATCATCGCATGTGAGCTTCAACAAACTTTGCACCACACCACACGTTTGGAATGATTTCGACCCGTTCAGAGCAAATTCCCATCCACCAAAATCGCCACTTCAGCTGAGACTTGTCACGAAAACAGAGCTTCGATGCCACACCCTGAAACGCAAATCCCAATGGCACGGCCACATCCAACACCCCCAAAACACGACTCTCCAAACGCTAATCCCAATGGAACTGCGCAGCAATCTGCGGATCTCACAAAACGATGCGCCTGTGCAGCGAAATGCATCACGTTTCTTGCGCGACATGTCGGTGTCATGCAAATCACAATGGAATTGCGGTGCAAACTGACACGTGACACATCCATGAAAAGTCACTTGCAAAAGCTTCCCCCAATGGCAGCAAATTTGAGACGCGACGACGACGACACGACGACGACAAGCGACGACAGACGACGAGAGACGACGACACGACGCAAGCCATGCAAACACAGCTCCAACCCCCAGACCCCCAACTATAAACGGGAACCCTTCGCTACGCATTCGGGAAAAAAATCTACCTTTCACCATGTTCAGTCTTCCGAGGGCCTAGGGTCCGAAAATCCATGGAAGATGACGTGACTCACCTCCACTCAAACCACTCGACCCGCCCACCCTCCCTTCGGCCAATTGGGCAGGATCTCCGTCTGGCAGGCTGCATCGACCTCAGCTCCGTGGAACCTCGAACCTCGAGAGAAGGAGGATGAGTTGGTGTGGACTCCCATGGGACTTTGGGGAAAGCATGCGAAACTGCAATCAGTTCGGTTGTCCAAAGACTTTCTCACTGTCTTTCAAAGCAGCAACACATCTGCAACAATTCTGCAACTGTTCAGCTTCTGCAATCACTCATTGAATCGTCGTTTTGATAGAAAACAGCAAGCCTGGAGATCTTTGGCAATCGGCCACTGCAAATGGTTACCCCATGCATTTTGGATGACACTATGCATTCACCAAACTAAAAACATGGTTTTATTCTGTCATTGCAACTCCCCTAGAAACGCAATGTTCCATTATTGCCTGGCTGTTTGGCCAACCTCCAACACAAGCTCTCAACTCTTGGCTGGGTGCCATGTCGATCCAATCATTGATTTTGGCCTTGATCCAAAAAAACACGCATATCGCATATCTAATACAAACTTCATCAACATTCTCAATGATTCCACAAGAACTGGAACATACCGGAACACTGCGCCTTTGTCATTCCTATTGGATATAGGGATTCAATTAGATTGTATTTTAAATCCCCATATAGGCTTGGGCACCTTCGGCTGTGCGGGCCCGCCCGCGCTGCCACGGTGTGCGCCACGTCCGGTGAGCTTGGCCTTGGGGGCACCTCGGTTGAACAGCCGTTCGCCCCCAAAAGAAGCAAACACGACCAATGGGACTTGAAGCTTTACATACAGCGGTTTCAGAATAGATAGCACAATCCCCCAGTTCGGTGGTTTGTATGGATCCCCATCCTAAAGACATCTTCGGGTTTGTGCCATCTACTCTGAAACCACTAATATAAATATTAATGTATATTGGATTGTATTAGGGGTGGTTGTCAATATGGATGAATGAGGGTGAATGTAAGGTATAATTTTGCCTATTACAATGGACTGTCTGAGGTCTATACCACTTCCATCCCCTTCTCATCGGGTCTCTGACAGGGTCTCTTCCACCGCAGGGGCGGTCTCAAGGTCAACCCGTGGGGCCGTGCACGAGACGTGACCATGGGGTGGTACCGTTGTTGCGAGCGTCGTTTGGAAGAAACACCCTATCCTCACTCCAAATCGGCCCCGTGGATTGGCTTAGCCTTACGAAGGAGACCCACCAAAACAGAACTGCGTCCAGAACGGTGAACAGTGAGTGGTTCTTTGGCCCTGTCGTGTCAACAGGGAGTCTCGGAGTCTCAAAAAGCGCTCAGACCAAGCAAAGAGAAATCCTTGGCCAGTCGGTCCTTGACGTTAGTATAATAAGCCACAGTTCTGACTTTGAAGCACACCCACCCCCTGTGCCACACCCCAATGTGCCGGCAGTCAGGTTGAATTGGGACTTTGAAGCGTTCTTTTCTTGTTTGGCACACCATGTGCCACCCCAATTCAACCTGACTTTGACACGGTCGACCTCACAGATACGACAGATCCTCCGGCCTCGCACGGAAGCACTCCAGCTACTTGCGCGGTGGCTGGCCGAAAAGCTCAAGGCCATTCGCGCAGGACGCGTGGGTTCCAACAGCGTTAGTGGCGATACTGGTGGAGGAGTGAGGAGTGGGGGGTGGGCTGAGATGGTTGGGGTGGCTGCTGCAGGTGGCTGCACAGACTGTACCTCGAGGGGTGTTCCACATCGTGCTCCACGTCGCCAGAAAACGCCCCTGAACTTTGGGAGACGTGCAAACTCCAGCAACAAACACGACACGACATCTGGTGCGAGCTCGTTCCTAACTTCGTCTGAGTTCTCCCTAATCTTGAAACACGGCTCTGAACATGCTGAACCTTTTTAGGCACCAACGTGACTGCCGTGTGTCGGCCCGAAAAAACATGGGTCGTCTGAAAGGATCAGAATGATCAGACGCTCTGCTTGGAGCTTTGCCCCCGATCTTGGTCTTCGAGACCCGGGTTTCCTCGATCTCATGGAGTGAGGCGATTTCCCCACCTGTTTGGGCCTAGCAGGGTTCATGGATGAACATGATCGACCATCAAGGCCACGAATTTCCACGTTTGGCCCGTCTTGTTTTCGAGTCTGTCTGTCTGTTCGAAGTCTCATGTCGAGCGCTAGCTGTGTTTTGGCCACGTGGAGGCCTATATAGTGCGCACATGCCGAAGGCCCGGCAGCTTTGGAGCCCAAAGATGTGAATTGGGAACCGGCGAGTTGGCGTACCGGGAAGCGGCGTGGGGAGGTTGGCGTTTGGAACTGACATGAAGGACGACCATTTCGATCCACTTGAAGGACATTGTACCTGTTCAACATCTTTCAACCAAACCAACAATCTTCATCCCCTGGATTAGATGTGGTCAAGTCACAGGGCACTACAGTTCTCAAGGTAGATGGGTGGAATAATGCAAACAAACTCACCTTGCAGCGTTCCTTTCTTGTTTAGGCACACCGGCACCTTGTCTCAAAAGCGGCAAACGGAACCAGCGTGGAGAAAACATGCCCAAACAAACCCACCTGACAAACAGAACAAGGTTGATCAAAAAGACCTGCCAGCCCTCCCCCCAAGCAAAAAGGCGGCTCGAAAGCGCTGCATCACCTGTCAAACCGTTGGTATTCCATGGTATATATATTCTGTTGATTCTCCAATGCATGGGTTTTTGATCTGCGGCGGGAATAAGATATTATTGGATTCAGTCCACAATAGCAACCAAGTCAAAGGTGCACCTTGCGGTGTTCACCCCCGAAAAGCATGTCGAAACTCCGACCATCTGGGGGATGGTCATTCTCCCTTAATGAGTGGTCTAGACCACGACCCACACAGGATCGCACCGCCGCAACCACCGAACCATTCGACACCCACCTAGTCTGTTGGACCCGACCGACGGTGTCGACTGACCTTGAGGAGCAAAGCGTTGCAAGCTTTGCAGTCCAAGGCTTTTCGCACCCTCGTGGGGTTTGTGACCTGAGTGGAGATCGCCAAGAAAACACACAAGAAAACCAGACATCTGGAAAAGAGTGCGCCGGCATCACAGTCGTTTCGTATAACAACTTAGCGTTGTTGGATTTATTATAAGTGTCTTTTCCAAACATAATTCCCAAAGCTTTGTGGAATAAACCAGAAACTATAACCAAAACCCCAAAACAGCTGACTCACAGCTCACTCCAAATGATCAAAACGTTGGTTTCCTTTGTGTTCCTGGTGACGTCCCAGCAAAAACAACGCTGAGCCCCACACCAGCAGGTCATCTCCCACGATCTGCACTTGATCGCCCACCGCCGCGTTGAACCTCGGCACCAGGGGCCCACTGGGACGACCAATCCCACACCTTCCATGGGACTGGAATCGTTACCCAGTGCATCCCGGGCAGTTCCCACTAGTAGTAAGGAACCAGGGATTCGGAACCGGTCTATGGCTTTAGCCTTTGGAACCACTGGTTGCCAGCTATAGTGGTAACTGGACTGGATGCCCTGGGTTACATGTATGTACATGTACTATGGCCCTAATGTAGGTAACTATTCCATACGAAAGACGGGAGGTCTGGGATTGGACTCCGACTGCGTTTGTCGTGGGTGGATTCCGGTGTTTTCCCGGGCTGGACCCGTTTGGCACCTGGGAATCGTTGTTGTTTTTTTATCCGGTTCCCACACAAGCAAATCCAAGTTAGACACCAACCCAGGAAAAGTGGAGATTCCATGAGATTCCTACTAGATCCTACTACTAAGTACTAGCAAATCCAATTGGGGGAGAGAAGCAGCACCTCTTCTTCCCGACCTGGAAAGGGTTGGAGGATAGGCTTCAGGGACCGTATACCAGCTGTTCCAAAGGAGTGGTGTTTAGTCCCAAGTGACTGGATCATGAACAATCCCGGGGCGTGCGTGGCAGTGTGGCGTATCGCGCCGGCCCGGCTGAATCATGATTGGTGCCCGGTGCCTCTCATCCAGTCCAGACACTTGGAGTAGGCGTCCCAGTCATCTTGGTCGAAGGGGTCCTCAGCTGCCCAAGACCACAGGAGTAGGCAAAGGATGGAGTTTCGCCCATGCCAACACGCGAGATTGACACAGATCCAGCAATTGGGATGCATTTCGATGTATCCAATTGGACGAGGATTAACACTCCATCAGGAGGAGGGTCTAGGTCCCATAGGATATCAAATCAAATTGGGTTCTCAAACCATTTTCTGCGAGGTATCGAGTCTTCTGAATCAAACATTCAGTATTGTAAAAAAATCCTCCTACACCACGTTGCAAGCTTCTGCAGGCAAACTCTTTCTTCACAACGCCGCCTGCGATCCTGTGGATGGTCCAAGCTAATATCTCCCAAAGTAGCAAATGAACTTTATATTTCCGCCCATACGATATTTTGGTCCATAGGATTTGTTTGCCCATATTTATATATAATTACATCGAATCGTTCTTCCAAACACAGGCCCCCTATGGATACAAATTTACGGTCCATTGCTCACGCCTCGATGGACACGAAGGGATAGGAGGAGAACCACGCCTGCACTGCGGGCGCCCGGCGAATGCGACGTGCGACACTGAGGTGGGCGTGTTCGTTGCCCAAGTTTAGATCAATAGTAATCCTTGTACAAAAATGATTCACCCCCCCTTGAAGTGGAGTGCATAAAGGTTCATCAAGGGCACTGAGCAACACCGGGATGTTTTTGGAGCTGAAATCCTGGGCGAGAGCGCCCCACGTGGCGACAACACTTGATATCAGATGCGACGAGTACAACTTCGATCTTCGTTCACCCAGATCATTCGCTTCGCTAGAATAGAACTCTTCTGGTCTGGCGAACAGCCATTCTGTTGCCTAGCCCTGCAGCCACGTGCAGTATTTTGTGACGTTCCTTTCCTTGACTGACTATACCAGGAATGATCAATCTGAGCCAGCTAGATGTTACAGTAGGTTGGAGGCCATCGCTATTAGGTTGGAAGCCATCGCCAATAATGTCAAGTCCGGATTTAGAAAAACCCTCTTGTGGATTTCACTCCATCCAATCAGGTTGGAACAGCTTTTGACCGTTCCGGTTGCTGTTTGGCTACCCTGCACCCATGCAGGGGCCCCTTGAGACCTCGTTCATGCTACGCCATAGGCAAAAGACACGCCTCACTGTGTTTTCACTTTCCATCTCGACACTTCGTGCGGTCGCGATACAACACGAGTTTCCACATCCGTGTTTTCATATTGGTAGCGGAGCCTCCTCACAGGAGGGGGCTCCAGCATCGCAATGGCATCGTCGCCGTCCCGCCGCGGAACCTCACGCGACGCGAATGGCGGCAGCTCCTCCGCGAATGCTGGCAAGGATCTGAAGGACAGCTTCGTGCCCCGCTTCGATAACACGACCACGACATATGCTGAATGGCGGAGGCGAGTGACCTTGTACGCCCGGAAGCTTGAGCTTCAAGGGCGGAAGAGCGAAATCGCCCTCAACGTCCTCTCAGTCCTTGAAGGTCCATCCTGGACCCAGTGTGAAGATTTGGATCTCCAGGAGCTGGAGAAAGAATCTGGCCTCGACATCCTTCTCAAGCGCCTGGACCGCCAATGGGCGTATGACGCCAAGGTCGAAATGCCGACCCACTTCGAGCAGTTCTTCTTCAAGCTGCGGCGCAAGAAGGACCAGTCGATCCTGGAGTACACCACCGAGTTCCACCAGACCCTCAGACAGGTCTCAAAGCACAAAGTTGATCTTCCTGAGGAGATCACCGGCTGGATGATGTTGAAGAGAGCCGGACTGACCAAGGAACAAGAGCAGCTCATCCAGACCAACATCGGCTCGACCCTTACGCTTCCAGCTGTCGAGCAGGCTCTCTACCTGATCCTCGGCCAAGATCATCGCCATGTTCACCTTCCTGCACACCTGAGGAAGCCACAGCTCCCCGGCCGATGGAAGAGGCAGAGCCAAGTCTTCTGGGAGGAGGACTATGAGCTGGATGAGAACTATGAGAATGAAGAGACCTACTTCCAGGATGCCATCGACCCCGACGACTTCCAGGAGACCATGGGAGAATGGGAAGACCCAGAGCCCGATGACACCTTCTACCACGATGAAGCTCAAGAAGAGCTGGACTCCATGTTTGACACCCAGGAGTTCGATGACATCTACAGCACCTACGTTGATGCCAAGAACCGCCTCAACCAGCTCAGACAAAGCCGTGGCTTCTACCCCGTCGTGGCTGTGGTTGATGGTGGAAAGGGTCAAGCACCTTTGATGGCCCAAGGTTCCGGCAAAGGCAAATCCAAGAGCCCTGGCAAGTCAAAGAGCTCTTCCAAAGGAAAAGGCTCAAAGTCTGGAAAAGGGCCCAGCGGCAAGCAGAGAGCTCGCTCAGCTATGGTATGCCTTCGTTGCGGAAAACCTGGACACTTCGCAGCAAACTGTTCGACGGCAGGTGCACAGTCAAGCTCACCAAAGAAGCGACCTGCAGATGATGACACAATGGTCCACATGGTCCTCAGCATTGAAGAGTTCTATGATGCTGAGGAGGGCTACGACTATGAGAATGAGATCTTCTATGACCCTGAAGAGGCCTATGCCCAAGGGGAAGCTTTGGTTCGTGCCGGCGGCTGGCTCACGCCGGATCCTGACGCTTGCATCCAGGACCAAGGAGCATCATCATTCCTGGCTGGCAGTGAATACATCCTGCGCTACCTCAAGTGGCTGGAAATCCTCGGCTACCCCATGGACAAGTTGAACTTCAAGCAGTGTGACAAGTCCTTCCGCTTCGGTGGCGATGCTACAGGACAGTCAAAATGGATGATCGAGCTACCAACACGTCTGGCTGACGTTGGCGGCAAGATCCAAGCCTATGTGATCTACGGTGCCACTCCCATGTTGTTTGGCCGACCCTTGCTTGAAGCCCTCCATGCCGAGATTGACTTTGGCCGCTCTCGGATGCGCATGCTTGACCAGGAGACCTGGCGGGATATCCCACGTGGCCGTCAGGGAGCAATGCTGCTTCGCCTCGCTGAAGGGGTGACACGCCCTGAGGACTTCTTCCCCGAGACCTTCGACCTTCGATGTGAAGATGATCACAACAATGGCCTCAAGCTGAATGACTTCTTGGACGACCTCAACGCCCACGAGCGCTTCTTCGAGATGACCACTGAAGTGCACGCCTACTTTCAGGCATGTGGAAAGGGTGAAATGGATGAGACAACCTACATGGAGGTCGACCAGGAGAACATGACCGACCTACTACCTGGTGAAACAAGCAAAACGATTGAGCAGTTGGAAAAGACCCTCACCATGTTTGAGCACCAGCTGGCCGAACACCAGAAGACACTTCATCAAGAAGTACATCATGCCCGGGAACATGGCCTTTCCCACCGCAAGCGGCTGATCTGGGAAGTCTATGCTGGAGAAGGCCGCATCATTCAACTCCTTCAAGCTCATGGCGATGTGGAGGTGATGCGCTTCGGATGGGAAGATGGATGGGACTTGAACAGAGCCGCACATCGAAAAGCTCTACTACGCTTGTGCGACGAGCTTGAGCCTGACGAGATCTACATGTCACCCAGTTGCACTCTCTGGTCGAGGATGCAGCAGATCAATGTGCACAATGAGGCTCAAGCTGAAGATCTTCAAGAACGCCGTGAAGTGGACCGGCGAACCCATCTGACCATGTGCAAAAAGCTGTACTACAAGCAGGTGAGAAGAGGAGACCACGCCCACATCGAGCACCCTCACCTGAGTCTGGCTTGGGAAACGCCTCAACTCCGACATCTTCCCGGACATCAAGCGATCTTCGACCAATGTGCCTACGGAGCAGTTGCCGAAGCCGATGACGGATCACTCCTGCCCATCAAGAAGACCACCAAACTGCAGACCACAAAATGGGCAATGTTCAATCTGATGTCCAAAAGGTGCGATGGACAACATGCTCACCAACGCCTCGAAGGACGGAACAGGTGCAAGAAGGCTGAAAACTACCAGACAGAGCTAGCAACAGCACTCGCTCGTGGACTACTTCTTCATGAAGGCCTCAATGAGCAAGTTTACACCGTCCACAATGAAGATGACAAAGCTCTCACTGGTGTCCTTCGCAAACTCGGAAAAGTCCATGGCAGTGAAGCAGTCCGCATTGCCTACCGACTTCATCGGAATCTTGGTCATCCTCGCAAAGATGTTCTTCTCAAGATGCTCAAGGAGCGAGGATGCAATGAGGCAATTCAAGCGGCAGTTCAAGACCTCCACTGTCCATACTGCGAGATCCACTCCGTCAAGAAGGGCAACGCACCTGGCCACTTGGACAGACCCACCGAGTTCAACGCCCAGGTTCAAGCAGATGTTTTGTGGTTGGAGATGGACGAGATTGGCATGCTCCTTGAGGCTGGTCAACGCAAGCAGCGCACCAAGCGCATTGCCGTGCTCATCATGGTGGACGTTGCCACTCGCTACATGGCAGCTCGCACAGTCCCAGATGAAAAGGGCATCTCTCTTCAAAAGGCCCTTGAACGAGCCTGGATCCAGTTCCATGGACCTCCGAAACAGCTCTACGTCGATGAGGGAACTGGATGGGCTTCAGATTCCACAGCAACATGGTGTGAACAGCATGACATTGAGCTTCGCATCTCACCTGGCCAAGCTCACACTCGCACCAGCATCGTTGAGCGCAGACATCAACTGGTTCGGAAGGCAGTCTCCATCTTCATGCTGGAGCACGAACTTAAAGGCCTTGACGGAGTTCAACAGGCTTTATCATGGGTTGTTCCCTCGGTCAACTCCAACACCTTCGTGAACGGCTTCACTCCGTCCCAGCTTGCACTAGGCCGAGAACCTTCAATGCCCGGACTCCTTTCTGATGAACGTACTGGACCACTACAACTTCAGATGGCCGAGCAGGAGCGGCTTCACAGACGCCTCACTTTGAAGTTCTCAGCCCAGCAGGCATGCGGCAAGGCTGAAATTGATGTCAAGCTACGCCGAGCTCTCCTTCACAGGTACACCGGCCGTGATGAAGACCTTCATCCTGGAGAACGATGTCTGTACTGGCGAGATGCTGCTGATCGAGCACACACCATTCGCTGGAAGGGTCCTGCGATCGTTCTGGCCATCGAGAGAAATCCTGACACTGGCACCGTGTCCTGCTATTGGTTGGCTCATGGAACCGTTCTTCTCCGTGCCAGCACTGGCACCATCGACGGTTCAGCTCGAGTTCAACAGGCTCTACGAGACCT